CCTCTCGGGCCTGGCCTCGCCACTCCCCACGATGGCCAGCGAGGGCCCGAGCAGCAGCCCGAGGAGCTCCCCGAGCGCCCCCCGTAGAGAACCGCCGGAGAACGCGCCGGGGGCCCCCCGGCTTGACGCCGCCCCTCACGCCCACGAGGCGGATGGCAGAAGACGAGCAGGCTGACGTGCAGCGCGGGGCGATTGCAGAGAGGTGTGCCGCGCGTGCGCCCAGCACGACGTCACCGTGGGACCCCTGGGCGTGGCGAGGGGTCGGTTTTGTGCGGGATGTCTCCGATGCACCGTCTGCGCGCTTCGTGGCTGGGCCTGGTGGTCCCGGCAGCGGTGGTGGTGGTGGGAGGTCCTTGCCGACCCCCCCTCTCCTGCTCTCTCCTCTCCCCCCGCCTCCAGCCTCCCCCTCCCTCGTCCTTTTTTTTTCTTCGGCAGGCCACTGGGCGCGCACGCCCGAAGCGTCAGCTGGGCCTGCATCTGCGGGCGGTCAAGGCAGTGCCTCACCGTCCGCCTGGACGGCAGATGCCGCAGGACAGGCGCCACGAAGACCGTGGCCGAGACAGAGAAGTCAGGCACCCCGCTCGAGGACGAGGAGGGGGGCCAGGGCGACCGATGCGACTATACGTCGACAGAGGGCTCCCTCGTTTTGTATTATTCTCTCTTGCCGCCCACGTATTTTTTCTCCCTCGTTTCCATTCTTTCTCCCTCGTCTTATTATATTATATCCCTCGTTTTTTTCTCTCCCTCGTCTTATGAAGTTATATATCTTTTCTATTCTTCCCTCCCTCATTGTTTTTTAGGCCAGGCCGATGCTGAATGGACGCGAGGTGCACCCGAGGCCTCTCTACGACGAGGCTGCCGGCAGCCAGGCCTCTGCGACGGGCGCGGAGGCCGAGGCGGCCTGCCTGGAGCCCGTCGGCCCCCCACACGGAGACGACTCTCGGCATGACACTCCAAGAGGGCAGCTCTCGAGTGCCAGCACGCGGGCCCAGCGTCCAATGACCAACATGAAGGGGCCCCAGGACACACAAATAGATACACACAAATAAACAGATTCCCCTTATATTTTCCTATATTTTGGGTTTTTTGTCTTCCCCCCCCACTTCCCACGTTTTTCCATATGTTCCTGGGAGTCGGCGATTCATTGTGTCTGTGTGTTTTTCCCCTCCTGACAACAGGCCCAGCCGTTGTACGACCCTGCCTGCACGGAAACGCAGCCCAAGGTGGCCACATTCTGCCTGCCGCTTGTACCCGGCAGAGGCGCCTTTGACAGTATGTACTGGCACATGGCCGCGAGAAGTCCTGAGATCGTTTAGCAGTGAGCGGCGCTCAATGCTAGGTACATCAAGTATCGTGTCATTCGAATGTCGCTCTCTTTGCGCCACCACGTCTTTTCGGCGTTGCGCTACATGTTAAGGCTGCATCTAACGTCATTCCGTCAGTCGATCCTTCGAGCGAGCGTTTGGATTGTCCATCCTTCGGGCGAGATGTAGCGCGCTCTCTATGCATGAGCGCGTTTCTTTTAACGACTCGCGACCACGTCCATCACAGGGAAGCCCCCATCCCCTCCCCCAGCAACGTGACGAATTGTGCCGGCGCCGTCTGGAAATGGCTAGGCGTAATGAAGTAGTTTCCAGACGGCGTCAGCGCAAATCGTGACGTTTTCCCTGACTCCTCCCCCCACCCCCCACCTACTTCTTCCAGCAACGGCCGTTATCACGGGAGGACCGACAGTTGGCTGCATGCAGAGGACATCACATCAGGGCTGTCGAGAGAGAGGAGGAAGAAATGGACGCCTCTAAGGGGAGAGAGAGAGAGAGAGAGAGAGAGAGAGAAAAAAAAAAAAAAGAGAAAGAGAGAGAGAGAGAGAGAGTCCAGGGGGTGCCCCCCGCAAGGGAATTTGTCAGCCCCAGGGGCCTGCGACAGGGCGCCCCGCTAAGACGGCCCTCCTCGGCGTCGGCCTCGGCCTCCAAAACCCGGCAGACCTGCCAAGGGCTCGGAGCCCGCTCCGCCATGCACAGGCTGGCGTGTGCCTCAAAGGCAGGGGGCCTGGACGCCCCTGCGAGCCCAGAATCGAATCGATAAGTCGGACCGGCGATCGAAATAAGTCGGATCGGCAAAAATCGGCAGCCGAGTCGGGAAAAGCCGAATCGGCGGAAATCGGCAGGCTAGTATGCGTCCAATGAGAATTCGGAGCCCACATCGGAATCCGAAATCGGTCGAATCGAATCGAATCGGAGGATTCGAAACGAGCCCTGTGGACGCCCCTGCGAGCCCTGGCTTTATGTCGGGCGTGTCCCCCTAGAGCGGGATTTTCGACGAAAAATGAAAAATACCCCAAACATGCCCCCCAAAGGTCAGAACATACGCAAAAAATTATCCCCATACTATTTTTCGACTATTTCTTGATTATGTTGGGGGTATCTCTTATTTTTCGTCGAAAATCCCCCTGTAGGGGGACAGGCCCGACTTAACCCTAGCTGGGGCCTGCTCGGCTTGAGTCCCACCGAAACGGACCCCGAAAAACACAAACGAGCCGCCCGACAAGGAAGGCGACGGGGCCCCAGACGGGAGGTGGCCCGTGAGAAGGCAGCCATCGGAGAAACCTCAGGGGTGCCAAAGCACCGTTCCTGGGACTTCAGCGCCGCGGATCAAAGGGACTGTGTCGTCCTGACCACCCAGAGCCGTGCCAGAAAACCACTCCTGGGCTTCAACACTGCGAAATAACTTTACGGTTGCCTCCTGGCAATCTGAAGTCGTGCCAGCACGCCCGCGAATCAACGTCACTGCTGCGCCCTGACAATCCAAAATCGCAGCAGAACGCCATTCCTGGGACTTCGACCCTACGAAGCCTTGAAACTGCTGCGAACTCTTTTTTGTTTGAGGAGAAGGAGGGGCCCACGGCCACATGATCACGACTCGCCCCGGCGGAAGACACAATGCGAATGTGTAAAGGTCGACGGGCAAGCTGGGAGCTCCACGAGAGCCGACCTGCAACAGGCAAACTCATGCGGTGAACCGTGGCCATGGACGGAGCGCATCTTTCCCCCGCGAATGGACAGGAGCCGAGCGCGACCCCGCCACGTGGCCGAGGAGCGTTGCGCACTGGACTCGGGCAGGAGGGGGGCATCATACAGATGTGACCCGAAGTCGCACCACTCTTGTAGCAAATGTGCGCGGCGGTAGAAAGTCGGGCGTTGGCAGAACTGGGTTTCGTGGAACCTGGTTCAGTGATCTGTACCAGGGGCGCCCCCCCCGCCCCATTTCCACGAACCGGAACTGCCGTCACCCGAAAAAGCACCAGCTATGGCAAACCTGGCTTCGTGACTCTGGCCAATTTTTTCGGGGCTCCGGGGCGTTACCGCTGACCGGGTCCTCTTACCTGGGGTCCCGGGCATGCCCGAGAAAGGGATAGCCACATTCTGCTAAAAAGAACGGCCCTTCGTCCGTGAAACCGCTGCAGAGTCTTGCGGCGAACGTGCGTGGCGGTAGAAAAAGATAGCCGAAAAGGATAACCACATCTTGAATTACCCCAGTGCGACCCTACCTAGAAGTTGGAGCCCCTAGGAAAGCAGCATTAGTTGCTATGCTATGCTCTGCTATGCTATGCTATGCCATGCTATGCTGCGCTATGCTATGCTGTGCTATGCTGCGCTGTGCTATGCTGTGCTGTGCTGTGCTGCGCTATACTATGCTATGCTGTGCTGCGCTATGCTATGCTATACTGGGCTATGCTATGATATGCTGTGCTGCGCTATGCTACGCTATGCTATGCTGTGCTCTGCTATGCCAAAGCTCAGCGAAGCTAAGACGAAGGTAAGCTAGCTAAGATAAACCTGAGCTAAGATGAACCTAAGCTAAGCTAAGATGAAATATGTTAAACTAAGACGAGATAAGCAACGCTAAGCTAAAGGGACGTAACTGGGGGAACCGCGGGGCGGATACTGGGGGAACCGCCCGGGGCGGGCCCCACTGCCCGGCCCTTTAATGAGCACACCGAGTAAGAGCCCTTCTAGGCAGAGCCTAGGTAGGGAAAAAAAGGATCACGGAAAATGGTAACCGAAAAAGACAACCGAAAATGATACTTAACCGCATTTTTTGAAAAAGAGAACGGCCCTTCACCCGGGAAGCCGCTGCAGAGTCTTACGGCGCACGTGCGCTGCGGCAGCAAGGGAGCACCGCACCTCGAGAAAGCGCGCCGCCCCCTCCGCCCGTGGAGAGCCGCCACAAACACTCTCAGGGCGACTGTGCCCTTCGCACACGAGGAGGAGGAGGAGGAGGAGGAGGGGGGGGAAGGAGGAGGAGGAGGAGGAGGAGGAGGAGGAGGAGGAGGAGGAGGAGGGAGGAAGGAGCAGGGCGAGAACCACACTTCGAACACGACCGGGTCTTCGCAGGGCCCGTGCCCTTGGGCTGCCGACCTCCTGGCCGCCGGCGTGCGGCTGCGGATGCAGCTGGTGCAGAGGGCGGCGCGCGAGGACGCGGGCACCGTGCGGAGCGTCATCGTTGGGGCACTCCGTATATGCGGGCCCTCGCCGCGCTGGCAGATCAGGCGCTCGGGGCCGCTGCTGGGCACAGCGACGTTGCTGCAAACTGGTAAGGCGAGTATGCGCAGCGATAAAAAGCGAGAACCACATTGGGAGAACCGCCCGCCCTCCCTCCGCGAAGCTGCTGCTGCTGATGTCTATAGCTTCAGGGCCATCAGTGGTAAGGACATCTCAGGCAAACCGCCCGGCCTGCCCTACCGACGTGTCTGCGGGCGCGAAATAAGATGAGTCATTGACGCGGAAAGGGGACGGCGCAGGAGGAGGAGGAGGAGGAGGAGGAGGAGGAGCAGGAGCAGGAGGCGGAGAAGGAGGAGGAGGAGGAGGAGGAGGAGGAGGAGGGAGGGGAGGAGGAGGAGGAGGAGGGATGAGGACAGGGCGGCGGAAGGGTACGGAAACGACTAGTTAGGCCATGCGACCGCTTCACCTCAGGGGCCGGGCCGGAGCCGAGGGCGCGACGAAGACCTCCCGGTCCTCCCGGTAGCGCACCTGCAGGGCGAGCACGGCGTCGCGGCTCGTCCGGAAGGTGACGAAGCCGCTGGGGGAGGGGGGGGGCCGCCACTCGAGGGGGCGGGACGGGGGAGATCGAGATGGCGAGGAGGACGAAGGGAGGGAGGGAGGGAGGGAGGGAGAGAGGGAGGGAGGGAGAGAGGGAGAGAGGGAGAGAGGGGGCGGGACGGGGGAGATCGAGATAGCGAGGAGGAGGACGGAGGGAGGGAGGGAGGGAGAGAGGGAGGATGGGAGCGAAAGGGGGGGAAGCGGGCGGGGGGGGGGGGGAACAGGGAGGGTGAGTGGACGAACGAGGGCGCGGCTGATGGAGTCCTGAGCCGATCTCTGCCTGACGGCCCGCTCGTTGAAACACGCCTGCAACCACTGGGAAGATTTCTGCAGTCGGCAGACGTTGGATGAGGAGATGAATGGAGGAGGCGGACGGACAGGTATTTCTTGGGCTCAGCGCGGCGGTGTCGCCCTTCTTCATGATAAGCCCGCTGCCGCGTCCAACGGCACTGGGTTGAGCGGTAGCGGTCTGGGCCGTCTGAGCGTTGTTGTCGTCCCCGGCTCGGGGCGGCAAGGCGTATAAACCGAGCAACATATGCCACCAGCAGCTCCTCGCTGCCTTGGGACAACGCTAATCTCATGATGCGATTGGCTCGGGATACTATCCAGGAGTTCTGGACTTCGGCCCTCGTTTCTGGAGCCCCTTCTAGACTAGCGCGTTCCACTACCTGCAAAGTACTTAATCGCAGATGGCCTGGACCCGGCGGGGGGATTTACGATCCATTCCATCGGGGCAAACATGTGTGTGTGTGTGTGTGTTTTGGGTACGTTTGCGTGTCTGTAGGTACTTTGCGAATAGTGGAACGCGCTCGGTGACCATCAGAACAGCAGGACATCCGCCGACCCTTGTGGTAATTATACGGCGTATGACGCTGTCGCCCCTCCCACGCGACACGAAGGAGGAGGAGATGGAGGAGGAGGAGGAGGAGGAGGAGGAGGAGGAAGAGGAGGAGGAGGAGGAGGAGGCAGAGGAGGAGGAGGAGCCGCAGAGGAAGGGAGGAGGGAAGGACCGACCGAATGGAGGGGGAGGGAGGGTGACGAGGGGAAGGAGGGAGGGAATCAGCACGCGAAGCAAAGGGGAGGGCGTGGACCCGAGGGGGAAAGGGAGGGGACCCGAGGGGACGCAGGGGGAACAGGCATGGATCAGGCAGCAGCCGCCTGGGGAGACTGCCGTGCTCGCGGGCAGGCGCGCGACGAGCAGCAGGCGGCCCTCGCGCATGACTCCTCCTCCTCCTCCTCCTCCTATCCTCCCTCCTCCTCCTCTCCTCCTCGATCCTCCTCCTCCTCTCGATCCTCCCCTCTCCTCCTCCTCCTCCCTCCTCCTCCTCCTCCTCCTCCTCCTCCTCCTCCTCCTCCTCCTCCTCCCCCTCCTCCTCCTCCTCCTCCCTGCGCCACGCTCGAGGTGGAGCCACGGGGGGCGCTGGCACCTCCCGCGTGCACGGCCTGCGCGAAGGGCGGCCCGCGCCGCGCCCGAGCGGAGCCACGGCGGCGGGGGGGGGGGACGCCCGCCTCCCGGGGCCGGCGCGCGATCGTGCCCATGGCCGTGCGGCCGGCACGGCCTGCGCCGCGCCACCCGTGCTGGAGGAGGCCGGGCACACCGGGCCCCGCGCGCCGCGGCCCCCGGCGGTGCGCCTCGCGCGACGACCATCCCCGCGCCCCTCGCGCCGCCCCGCGCACGGAGGAGGAGCACCCTGACCTTCCAGGAGGGCTCAAGAATGGCACCCGACTCAAAAACCCATCCCAGAGCTCTTCTACGTCTTGTTTTTTTAGGCTGCTTCGTGTAGTTTTTAGGTTTTTTAGGCCTCCAGTGTTAAAAAATAGCTCTCTGGAAGGTCAGGGCAGCCGCTCCGGCCCGGGCCGCGGCGCGCGGAGCGGGGCCGCCTCCGCCGCCCCCGCGAGGTGGCCCGGGAGAGAGCCGCCGCGGAGAGCCGCGGGGCGGCTGGCTGGCGATGGGGCCCCGCGCCTGCCCAGCTGGTGCGCCGGCCGCGCCCCCCACCGAACCCGCGAGCAGGGGCTCGCTGGGCAGGCCAGGACGCAGCCGGTTGCAGAGCCGCTGCCGAGCAGGGAAGCATCGTCGCCAGAGCGCGTGCTGCCCCTCCCTGCTGCCGCGCCGGAGTGCCCTCCGCCGCCTCCTCCTGTCCTCCGCGGCCGCCCGTGTCTGTCTTGCGCCCCCTCCTGCACGCCGGCCAGTTCGCGTATCGCCTGCCCCGGCTCGCCGCTCGCTGGTGCAGCTCTGCCCCGCCGCCGACGAAAAAAGCGTGCTGCCCCTCCCCTCCCCGCCCCGGCATCCCCGTCATGAAGGGGCCCTGGGACACACAAATAAATACACACAAATAAGAATATACCACAGATTTTCACATATGTTCTGGGTTATTTTTTGTCCCCCCCACTTCCCATATTTTCCCATCTTTTCCAGGGAGTGGACGATTAATTGTGTCTGTGTGTTTTTTCTCCTCCTGACATCACTCCGGAGGTGATCCTGCCCTGCAGCAGGGCCGGCGGCCCCAGAGGCGGGGCTCGGGGCGGCTCGGCTCGAGCAGTCGGCGCGGTGCTGGTGTGCGCGAGGCCTGTGGCCTGCTCCTGCTCCTGCACTCCCCGGCAGGCCTGGGCTGGAGGAGGAGGGAGGAGGAGGGAGGAGGAGGGAGGAGGAGAAGGTTGAGAAGAAGGGGGAGGGAGGAGGGAGGAGGTGACTACCTACCAGACCACCCCAACCCAAGCCGAAGACCCGAATTTCGGGTTGGGGGAGTAAGGGTTCCACATGTGTTTTTTCAAAGTTTCCCGACCCCCCCCATTGGAAATCGAGGGTAAATCTGAGCCTTCGGGTTGGGTTGGGGTGGTTTGGTGGGTGGTGAGGAGGGAGATGCGACGGCTGGGGCAGGACCGGAGTGTGGAAAGAACAGGGGGGGATGACGAAGGGAGGGACTGAGGGAGGGAGGGAGGGAGGGCGGGAAGCGATAGGAAAAAGGGAGGATGGACAATGAAGAAGGGAGCGGGAAGGGAGGATTGGACCTCGAAATCGTCGATGGGCCAACTTACTGCTTGAAGGTATGTGTTTGTGACGTTCGGAACCATCCTGTAAGAGCATGCTAAAAACATTAATCCAGCGTCATCATTTTTCATCTTTTCAGACTTCGCGCCACCTGGGATACTCCCTTTCGACAAGTTCCAGCGCCTGGTGAAGCCCAACAACGCAATTACCCTTTGGACTGCTTCAACTGCGTGCTGCCCCTCTGGCTCGGAAACAGTAGAACCATTCCTGCTGATGACTGCTGGCCTGCACTCAAATGCACATCGTTGGGCCACTCGGGTTCCTGGTACTGCAAGTTGCCGTGCTGATTTCACAAGTCCCTGAACGGGGATGGCCTCCGGGCAGGCCTCTCAATCCATCGCTTTCGAGCAGGGGCTGGACGCGGGGTACGAGGACCGGCAAGAGGAGAAAGGGAAGAACCAGATCCTGGAACAGGCCGGGGGCTCAAACAGGCATCCCCATGGGCAGGGGGCTCGGCAGACCCGAGGGAGCGAGTGCAAGAGCAGAGCCCATACGTGCGATGTCTGCAGATTTCAAGACGGAGCCTCCCGAAGTCCCGACCCTGTCCACAATGCTGGTTTTGCTTCTCGAGCCGTTGTCTGATGGACCTGGGCACCGCGAGAGCCCCGGGAGCCGAAAACGGCCCGAAGCCTCCCGTCGCGATTGTGTTCACGGCGCGAACGTGCACGGGAAAGCAGGGGGCAGACACGGCACAGGCTTCGACCCGCTGACAGTGCTGCTCTGCCAAGCGGCGTCGAAGAGCCTGGTCCCGCGGACGTCGTCGGTGCCGGATGCAAACGCGTCGTTGATGCGAGCTCGCTCCGCAGACGCCCGCTCCTCCAGGCTGGATATCTGGGCCTGGTAGAACTCGATCTCGTCCTGCCGTGCCGCTCTTGTGGCCCAGCTTGGTGCGTCACCAATCTTTCCTTCCTGCTGCTGCCTCTCCTCCCCGCCCCGCTGCCTCTCCTCATCCTCCCCCCTCGTCGTCACTATCCCGTCTGCTGCACCCGTGGAGTCCCATATCCACTGGCACGGATTCGCACAAACATGCACGCACACCGCATGCTCACATCAGAGTGAGGGGGCCGAACGGTCATTCACTGTCCCTGGGCGCACGGCTTAAGTGAGGTTCCGCGGTGCGGATTGTTGTTGCTCTGTTGTTGTTGCTGTTGCTGTTGTGGTTGTGGTTGTTGTTGCTGTTGTTGTCGTTGTGGTTGTTGTTGTTATTTGAGGTGGTGCTGCTGTTGTTGTTGATGATGCTGGTGCTGGTGCTGGTGCTGTTGTTGTTGTTGTTGTTGTTGTTGTTGTTGTAATTGAACTTTAATTACTGAAAAATAATTATTGTTGATCCCCCCCCTCCGGCGGACATTGTATTTTTTCAATTGAAGTGCCCCTTCCGGGGCTCGCACCCTGTTTTTTATCAGGGAAAGTCGTGGGCATCAAACTGCGTTGTTGGCCCCCCGGACATCAACAACAACGGCTCCCGCCTGATACTTCCTCCAAATTTACTCAGGACCCCCGCCCCCGCCTGGGACTTCCTCGCAGTTTACTCAAGCGGAGGCGCTCCCGCCTGAGACTTCCTTGCAAATTACTCCGGACCCCCGCCCCCGCCTGGGACTTCCTTGCAGTTTACTCAGGCGGAGGCGCTCCCGCCTGAGACTTCCTCGCAAATTACTCCGGGAGCGGCGCTCCCGCCTGGGACCTCCCTCACAACTGAGCATCAAACTGTGTTGTTGGCCCCCCGGACTACAACAACAACGGCTCCCGCTTGATACTTCCTCCACATTTACTCAGGACCCCCGCCCCCGCCTGGGCCTTCCTTGCAGTTTACTCAGGCGGAGGCGCTCCCGCCTGAGACTTCCTCGCACATTACTCCGGGAGCGGCGCTCCCGCCTGGGACCTCCCTCACAACTGAGCCCTGCTGAACTCTCAATACTGAAGAATAATTCTTCTTGATCCCCCCCGGCGGACACAGTATTTTTCCCCGACCTGGCGGAGGGGTTCCCGTTGTGTGTCCCCCTGGGGGGGTCTGGGGGGGGGACCCCCCGGGACATGGCCCCGGCCACGGGCGGAACGCCGGCGGAAGACGGCGGAAGTCCGGCAGGACACGGCATCATTTCTGCAGACGCGCTTCCGGGAGGCACGGACGGCCCCAAGATGGTCCACGAGATGGTTCACGAAGGCCTCGAGTTGCCGAAAGATCGGCCTAAGACGCTCAAGATGGCGTCCCGACGGCCCAGGGAGCCCCTAAGACGCCCCGAAAGACCCCCAAGAGCTTTCCCAGGAGAGTCGGAAACGTCAAAAAACCATAAGTTTTCCTTACGTGTTCGAAGGTTTTTGAAGTTTTTGCATTTTCGGCTTCTCGGCGCTCCAAGACGGCCCAAGAGGCCCCAACGATCGCCCCAAGACGGCCTCAGCAGCCCTCAAGACAGCGCCCAGACGGACCAAGACGCCCACAAGACGGCCCAAGAGGCCTCCAAGACCCCCTCAGAAAGCTCAACGAACGCCCCAAAAGAGCCCCCAGAGGGGAGGCGGGGACCGACATTTCGAGCTCCCCGCCCAAAGATCCCCCCCGGAGACCCAGGAGGCCCCCACGAGGCCCCCAAGAGGCCCCCAGGAAGCCCCCTTGGAGGCCCCAAGAGGCCTCAAGACACCTCCAGGAAGCCCCCCGAAGCGCCCACGAGGGCACCGGGACTGTCCCAACAAGGCCCGGGACGGCTGGAGGCGCCTCGACAAAGTGCCACATCATCGAACAGACAACACGGGAACTTCAGGAGGCACCTCGAGGCACCCAAGAAGACCCCAAGAGGCCTCAAGACCTCAAGAGGCCCCCAGGAAGCCCCAAGACACGCCCAAGGGGCCCCAGGACACCAAACACGGTGGCTCCGTCCGTTGGCGTCCGCCCGCCCCGCCAGCCCGACCCGCCCCTCAGAGTCCGCCGCTCGACCCGTCTGTCTGGTTCGTCCGTTTGTTTACCTCCTCTTTTGCCCCCCTCCCCTCCTGCTAACCTCTTTCGTCCTCCATCCATCCTCCCCCCCTTGCCCCTTCCCTCCTCCCTCCCTCCCCCCACTCTTTTCCTCCTCGCTCTCCCTTCCTCCTTCCCCCTGCTCTTCCTGTTTTAGGGGCTGCGCCAACTACACGTGGCGAGTAAAAAAGATATACCCCCAAAGGGGTATGACCGAAGACGAAGAGGGTGGGTATCGAGGGTTTGGGATTTACATATTGAGTGACGCGCGCGCATATAAGAGCGATCAGTCTTAAGATGATTGTTGATGTTGTTGTGATTGTTGTTGTTATTTCCGTCTTCGCCCGCGACCCGCCCAAGACACACACACACACACACACACCGCGGCCCACCCGCGACCCACCCCGCGACCCACCCTCATTGTTTTGACGAAGATTCGTCGCCTGCGGAGGGCTCTTTGTGCGATGTATTGAACACTCGGCGCCTGCGGGGAGCTGCTTCAAAGCCTTGCAGACTGCCAACGACCCCACAACCCCCTCACTCTTATTCGCAAGTGCGGGGTGCTAGGTAACTCATCGCCGCGGAAACTAGTGAGGGGTCGGGAGGAGTCTTCGGCAGTCCGCGAGGCTCCACATCAAATTGGAAGAAACCTTGCACAACGAGCCCGCCACGGGAACCGTTTTGTCGTCAAAACAATGTGCGGGTAGGTCAGGATTGGGTCGCGGGTGGGCCGCGGGTGGATCGCAAGTGGATCGCGGGTGGGTTGCAGTTGGGTCGCGAGTTAGTCGCGAGTGCGTCGCGGGTGGGTCGCCGATGGTTCGCGGGGTGGGTCGCGGGTGAATCTCGGGCGGGTCGCGGGCAAGGACGACGACAACAACAACAAACGGTGAACAACTGCTGAATTCCCGCTTCAAGCACGCACCCAGGGATAGTGTCAGACTGTTCAGCCCTCTCACCCTGACTAGCGGAGCATCAAGCCTGGCTCCACCTAGCCAATGAAGAGGGGGCTCGTTGGAGGAGCCGTGTTGTGGGAACTCAGTGACAGCTCGCCAGTGACCGCTGCAATCCATAGGACAGAGAACATAGATCAGATGCCCAAGCGAAGCCCTAACAAGAAGCTCAAGCATCAATGCCTAGCCCATTGGTTGAGAGCGCGGGTGCTGAAAATATTGACTGGCTCCAACCGAGCTAGACCTACACAATGGGACAACATGCAGTGCCTACACAAGGGTATCAGAGGAGTGGGCTTGCAACACATCGCAGTAGGTCTCACGCTGGTATGGCGACGCTGAGCAGGAGCAGGAGGATGGATAACGAGGATTATGAGGTGCGGAGGGTGATGACTGGTCATGCAGATTCATCCAAGCGGCATTGTATTGCAATAACATTCCCCACGCGAGCGCTGTTTGAAACATGATTACGCAGTCCAAAGTGCAGATGCGTGAGTCCTCGAACTTCCCATACATGCCGAGGAAAGTTGGTCGCTGCTCAGGATTCCTGGCGCGTGGCTGGAACCATAATGATAAGCGACAGTCCCCCCTGCCCGCATGCGCCTGACAATCTGGATATCGTAAATCCCTCAATGTGGGCCCTGGTTCCTCCAAGACGCTGTCCTGATACTTTGTCCGAGCTTACCCAAGAGTGGCGTAACGAAGAGGCCTCCAACGGCACTGGCACTTCCAACATCCGCATGACCATGCGAGCATAAGCGCTCCCAGTGCAAACATGACCTTCTCTGAAGCACTTTGGGCCAAGGCGACTACCAAATCGAAAGCTGGGTCGCTGGAAATCAAGCCAGTCCGCTCGTTCTGACGGGAACATGGAACAGGAGAGACCGGAGGGGTCGAGCTCCCGAGGAACGGTCCACACCCGTGCAGACATGCTCACCACGGCGCCAATGTAATAGGGAGTAGATGTTCCTGCCTCCTGCGTATGTCCTCCATCCTCCATGCGTCATCCTCTATTCATTATTATGATACGTCTCCCAGTGATACCACCCTCTTCCCTTTCCCCTTCGTTCCCAAATATACATACACGTCCACGCCCACGTGCAATTTGCCTCTCCCTAAGCATCGCATCATAACTCCAGTGCGACATCTACCACACATCACCTCCCAAGTGATAGCCCCCATCAAGTTTAACGCTCACGACAACTCCTCACGTAATCGGCAAGCCAACAAACACACGCGCGCCAACTGAATCCGCATCCGCAGTTCCACTTGTGGCGGGGCAATGCCTGGTACGTGGTACAATCTGACGTGGTAGCAGAACAAGTGCAATCATAAAAAGTGGGCGTGATCGCACACGGACACCCGCCCTCCACCGAAGCAAATGAAACACGGGCATCCTGCCGGTCTTCTCCCACTTGAACTCGGCCTTCTTGAGGGCTTTGTCTGGATGCCGTCTTGCTGTGCGCTGCCCGCCTCTGCCCTGCCGATCCACCCTCGAGCCCTCGCTCTGCGCCCTGGCTGGCCGCAAGCGGCCTTCCACTCCACCCTGCCCTGGTATAACGATGCATGGCCGCAAGCAGCCTTCCTCCACCCTGCTACGGCAGGTTCGTGCCTTGACGTCTTGGGCGTTGGTTTCTGACACCGCGTAGATCGCTCAACCTTGAACGATCGGGGCTCCCCAAGAGCACAGATCGTTCAAAGCTGGACGAATGACCGCTGGCAGCGTTCAACTTTGAACGCCCGCGTTGCGGTTGTCGCCGAGTCGACACGACACGAACCTACCGTATAGCGATGCATCGCGCCAGGGTACCCTCCCCGAAGCGACCTCGATCTCACACCTCGGTCAGACCGTATTCTGAGAACGATCTGCCCTCCATACGGTCAAGGTTGACCGGAGAGGACATGCGAGAGGACACGAGACCCTTCCAAGGGCCACATTGCCACATTGATGCAGGAGGCAGCAGACCTACTAAGCAACTTCGACTGTACGTGTAGCTGGCGGAATATCTTACAGCCCAAGGGGGGCCAGAGGGGAGAAGGGGGGGGGGAGGACGAGGGGGGAAGGACGAGGGGGAGAGCACGAGGGGGGGAGGGGAGGGGAGGGGAGAGGAGAGGGGGGCTGGAGGGAGAGAGGCCTCCCCAGTGGGATCAGAATGGACGGAGCCGGAGGATCGCGCCGCATCGTCGATGCACTCCTTCCTCTTCCTCTTCGAGAGGCTGCCCGCGGCGCCAGAGCGAGAGCCCACTTGACCACCCGCCCTCCATCCACGCACGTGTCAGAATGTTGGAACGAGCGGGCGCGGCTCTCGGCCAACCGTCTCGTGGCACTGGCCGGACCCACCTTCATCGCCCAGTTCGCCGTCAAGGGCAGACATCAGTGTAGCACCTGAGGTCAAATTGTGAACAGCTGGGCGGTGAAGGGCCTCGAGCGACGGTTGGTGGTCAACCCTGCAAGCTGGGCATTATTGTGGAAATGGTTCGGCAGTGGCATGATAGAGCAAACTGCGATCCCAGTGGAGTTTACACTGAAGGAACTATGTCCGCACATGCTGGCAGGATATAGCATCATGTCAATGGGTACATAGTTATACACCCGCCTAGCAATACTTGAATGGTAGCCTAAAACATTGAGAAAAGGGTTGATGCACATGGCGACATTGAGTACAGAAGCGCATGTGAGCATCCTACCCCTGCTGGCCATGTAGGTCCAAGCAGCACGTCACATCATCTGCACTCGCTTCAGTCATCCAGGAGGAGGAGCAGGAGGAGAAAGAGTATTAGGAGGAGCCGGACGAGGACGACGAGGAGAAAGACAACATGGGGGGGCTGAGGAACGGGAAAGGGCAAGGAGAAGAAGCGGAGGAGGAGGAGGAGGAGGAGGAGGAGAAGGAGGAGAAGGAGGCGGAGTAGGAGGAATTGAAAGAGGAGCCCGAGCATGAACATGCGTATGACCATACACATGGGGGAAAATGCATAGAGGAGGACAAAGAGGGTGACGACGACAAGTTGCCCGTGCACGGGCTGTGCCGTAACTGACTGACGACACCTGGCCAGCTGCCGCCGCGCCCGCCACCGAGCAGACAGGCGGCGGCGGGCACACCCGTGCCGTGGCTGCCCGGCTGGACCCCAGCCATACCGTCGTC